CACTTTCATTTCGCGCTGGGGTTTCCACACCCTAACACTTGCACACATGTTAGACTCCTTGATCCGTGTTTCAAGACGGGTCAAATCGCTCCATTTCGTCAACGTCCCGAACGGCAACAAGTTAAAACCCACATCAATCCACACACAACCACACACGCATAGCAAGCTATCCGCACACGGCGCACACAGAGACACAGGCCCACTCAAAAACACGTTGTAGGCACCTCAGTCCCAACCGCGACTACTCGTCCACCAAGATATAACAGACAAACGCAAGCGTAAGCCCTACCTCCTCGGCGGCCATTTCCCGCAGCATACGAACTGACCTTGACGTCCCACCGCAGCACAGGGCACCAGCAAGCACACACAGCACACACGCCGAGCGCAGCCAAAAAAGCCGCTGCCACAGCACACGCACGCACACACTCGCCAATGAAATATACCACGGATTATAGACACTGGAAACGATTCGGTTCCCTTTCAGCAGTTTCAGGTACTCTTTAACTCTCTTTTCAAAGTTCTTTTCATCTTTCCCTCACGGTACTTGTTCGCTATCGGTCTCGCACCAATATTTAGCTTTAGATGGAATTTACCACCTACTTTGCGCTGCATTCCCAAACAACGCGACTCAAAGAAAACGGATCGTACGCACGAGCAACTCAGGGATGAACGGGAGTATCACCCTCCATGCTGTCCTCTTCCAAGGAACTTGCCCCAAGCGCCCACACTGATCACGCCTCTATAGACTACAATTCGCCGCGCAAAACTTGCACGGAGATTTTAAGCTTGAGCTCTTCCCGCTTCACTCGCCGTTACTAGGGGAATCCTTGTTAGTTTCTTTTCCTCCGCTTATTAATATGCTTAAGTTCAGCGGGTAATCTTGCCTGATATCAGGTCCAATTGAGATGCATACCGAAGTACACAACATTTCCCAAATGGATCGACCCTCGGCAGCCGAAGCCGCCACTCTACTTCGCAACAGCAAAGCCGATTCAAATGCCAAGCTAAAGAGCCATGGTTCACCAGTCCATCACGCCACAGCAGGAAAATCACCCAATAAGCGCATTGTTCAGCCGAAGCCAACCATACCACGAATCGAGCATTTCTCCATTAACGCCGCAGCAGACAAACCGGTCGCCAACTCGCTACAATAGCAGCGTCCACAACCAGCAATGCCACCACTTTTGGAGCAAAGAGAAGTACAGTTTAGTACATTTAAAAGGACTCGCAGTCGGTCCGAAAACCAACCGCAAGACACTTCACATCTGGCATCTCCTCCACCGACTACACGGAAGGAAGAAAGCCAAGTTTGTTGTACGGACACTGATACAGGCATACTTCCAGGACTAACCCGGAAGTGCAATATGCGTTCAAAATTTCGATGACTCACTGAATCCTCGGTGTTGGGTCCACGTCGTTCAGCGTCGCTAGCTCATTCATCTGACGCATCAACTCGAGTTGAGGATCTTCCTCGTCGAATGTACGCACCAAAATGTCATCGTCACTGGAAGAACCATCGCTGTCGACTTGACGACGTCCGGAACCACCTTTGAGAGCTCGCGCACCGCCCCGGCGACCGAACGAACCCTCGTTACTTGCGTAAATACGTTGCATACGGCTCTCCGAACGTGGCGTAACCATGTGCGAGTCTTGAAAGTACGGTGAAGCTTCGGTAGTGCCAAAGGCACCACGCTCAGCTCCACGCTTGGTCGGAGGAGTACGAACGAGTCGTTGGGGCGTCGGCGGCAATGGAATCTTGGACGGATCTTCATCTTGAATCATCGGTCGACTCACAGGTTGCTTTCCGGCATTGATGCCAACGGCGCCAAACGCCTTCCGAAGCTTTTTCTTCCATTTCTGGAGAGCAGCTCCGGCTTCATGTGGACTCCAATTCTGGAGCGACATCGTCGATGGGTACGTCTCGTTCTCGAACCCCAGCGACAACAGTAGCGAAACTGAATCCTCGGCAACTTGGCTAGTCGAAACCGAGTTGACTGGGTATTGAAGCTCCTGCGCAAGCGCAGGCCAGTCGGCTTTTTTCTAGGGGATGGGCTTGAACAGCTGCATCCACTCATCATTCTGCATCAGCGCTTGTACGCGGTCGAAAACGCGCTTGGCGGCTGGTGTATCACCGTTGATAGGTGGGCGAGGTGCCTTCAGCAGTGCTGAATGCTTTGCACTTGCCACCGAAGGTTTAGAACCCTCGGTCCCATCGTCATAATCATCGTAGGCTGGTTCTGGTCCCGCAACATCATCGAGCTCGTCGGCGAGGTTCCTCGAAAGGGACCTGGTCGCTCAGCCCCGATGATAGCGTGGCCGTCTCCGGCGTCGCTGCGCCTGGCTCTGGAGTCGGCGTCTTGTCTTCGTAATCTTCATAATCGTGGGCGTCAGGACCGATGTCCGCTTCGTCGTCGAAGCTCACTGAAAGCTCGGTGGCGGCTGCAAAGCGCGCAGCCGGGCTTGAACTCTCGTTGCGAGCCCCGCCAGACTTGGCAGGCGTAACTGGTACCGTCGGTTGTCCTTTCGCCATGTTTCTTGTCTTTTTCTTGTTCTTCTTCTCTTGGTAGCTCGTAAACTGGAAGGCCATACAAACAGTTCACAATGGTCACAATCTGTTCCCGGGTCGCGCCACCAGTTGTGGTGTTGGAAATCCCACGTGAACTCTAGCTACAGATGTAGTTAGGATGTTCCCACAACAATACGTCTACTAGGATAGTAAACGATCGTTCCGGCGGACCTGAAGACCCCAGTTCTGCCCTTGCACCGGGACAAACTGGACCTTGTAAACTACTTATATAGGCCAACCAGTAAAAATAGGAACACGCTACTAGCACGAGCAAAGCTAGCAGGTGTTTTGAATCCTCGTGGTCCCAACAGCGGAAGGGTACCAGGCACGGGTAAGCCTTTTACGAGATCACCGAGTGTTCAACACTCGGCTGGAAGAAATAAAAGGGAGGCAATTAAAGCACTCCCAGTCGTGCAAATAGGCAACAATGAGCCGTCACGTAAAACCTCCCGATAGTAATCGGCCAAAATACACAGTCTCTTGGCCTTGCCGGATGAACCCTCGCTACAGAGCTTCGAGCTCACCGACAGGCATAACACACTCAAACAAGCTTGACCAGATGCTTACCTTGAAGCCGGACGTCGCTCTGTGTGCTTGAGTGGAAATTCTGTTCTGTATTTAAGCTTACCCTTTCGGGTCTATTCCTAATAAGAAGTCCTAATCAAGTATACAAATATCAAGTGAACAATGATCCGTTATGGATCTTCTTGCATGCCAAGCGTCGTCGGCACCGTCGCATGAGCAACTTTAACGGTCCGCGCCCTGTCCCAGACGGTGAACGTGCCTTCCAAGGGTCGCTGAGTCTTCCGCGAACTCATCCCAACCGCCACTGAGGGTTCGTACCGTAGATGGTCCGCTG